ATCTATCTATCTATCTATCTATCTATCTATCTATCTATCTATCTATCATCTATCTACCGGTATCATCTATTATTAGAGCTGTAGTGGTTAATTCTGTTGACTGTCACCAGTTCGATTTTCACCAGGCTCAGGGTTGATTCAGCCTTCCATCCTTCTGAGGTGGGTCAAACGAGGACCCAGATTGTTGGGGGTAAGAGGCTAACTCTGTAAACTGCTTAGAGAGGGCTGTAAAATCGCTATGAAGCAGTATTTGAGTCTAAGTGCTTTTGTTATCTTCCTTCCTTCCTTCCTTCCTTCCTTCCTTCCTTCCTTCCTTCCTTCCTTCCTTCCCCAATGATTAGAATGCAGTATTGCAAGCTAACTCTGTCCACAGTCTGGAGTTCGATCCTGACTGGCTCATGGTTGACTCAGTCTTCCAACTTTCTGAGGGTGATAAAATAAGGACCCAGATTGTTGGGGAAAACAGGCTGATTCTGTAAACTGCTCAGAGAGGTCTGTAAAAGCACTGTAAAGTGGTGTATAAGTCTAAGGGCTATTGCTAGTAGCAACTGCAGTGATTCACTTCACACCGTGGTGAAATGGGGCAAAATTTACTTAACAAACGTTTCACTTAGCAGGAGAAATGTTGGGCTCCCTTGAGGTCGTCCGTTGAAGGACTGCCTGTATTGGGCCCAAGGTGAAAAGGTGATTTTGATGGTTCGGGATGGGCGTGAGGCGAAAGGCGCACCTGTGGGCCCCCGATGACAAAACGGCCACTGGGTTGAAGGTGGTACACAGTGTTGTCGTCCAAGTAGTGGGCTGGCACCACGGCCTTGATCACGTGCTCCTGCAAGGCCTTGCGCATGGAGTCCAGGGAGATGCCTTCATCGTGCTGCACGGAGATGACAATAGTATGAACCCGCATGGGGATGACCGCCCCGTCTTCCTGGATGTATTGAACGGTGATCTGCGGAACAAAGGACGATTTAGACCACTGAGCTGGAAAGAGGAAGGGATGTGAGAAACCTTTGGTTGTTTGCAAAATGTCGAAAGGGACAGAGGATCTCCGGTATCGTCAGATGTTTCCTCCACTCTTCCGGTTCAAATAAACATTCCTCTGTGGCAGCAGCGGGATCTTACCTGTTCCACTACTGGTTCGGTGACATGTGCACACACACACACACACACAAACCTAATGCATGCGCACTTAACGCACGTGTGTCAGGGCTCCGGCATCCACCCCCATTTAAGTCACGAGTCTCTAGCCGCATCTCTCAGAGTTTAAAGAAGATTTATTAGAAGTGAACATGCCGGTGCTACCTGGGTACAGCTGACTCTGAGACACATCATTCATTTCCCCCTTGACCCTGACCTTCCCCCACTCCCTGGATGTATATTCTCCAATGGGACACCTCCATAGCCAAGAGTAATCTATCTTGCTCTCCAGTAATAATCTTGCGCGCCAACAGCTTTGGCTGCCTAGAAATTATCTGAAGCATTTAAGGAATGTCCTACTTTCCCCACTCCCTTTCTGCTGTCAACAGACCAGAGAAATATTTTTGAGTTGACAACACTAAATGCATGCACGCAGCTTTCCCCACACCAGCTGAGGTCTGCTGCGCCAATCAGCTGAGAGGATAAAGAAGAGAAAAGTGCAGAGGCAAGTAGGAGGGCTGATCCGGCGCTTTTCTCTTCTTTCTCCTCTCAGCTGATCCAACTCTAGTATGCCTTGCCTTCTCTTCTGTTTTCCTCAACCTTATCACAAATGATCCAGTTTTGCCACACAGATTGGCTCTAAGCCTCTAAGCAAATGATGTGTTGGGCTTGATCCAAACTTACCTGGGTTTTGGAGTCCGGTCGAAGCCAAGGGAGGACTCCATTCCGTCTCAGCTCGGCCATTTTGGCGTTCAGCTTGTGAGCAAGGATAATGGTTAGAGGCATGCATTCTTCCGTTTCATCGGTTGCGTAGCCAAACATCAGGCCCTGCATGGAAGGAAGGTGGGACTATTCTTTAGTACTTTGCTAGTTTATTAAAGGAAAACAAAAAGGAAAATAAATTGCAAAGGAACCTCAACTGATGGTCCATAAGATATTTTTTTGTTGGCATTCTAGTATCATATTTGTCTTTCCCGTTCGTTAACACCCTGCAGTATCTAGCCACTCTTTCATTCTTTCTTCCTTTCCCAAAATGGTACTTTGCATTGAAGAAAAAAAAACCCTCCTGGGCAGTTTTTGATACAGCCACTTTCCCTCAAGGTGGTTTGAAATCTTCAGAGGTTTGGATGGATGATCCATGAGATAGCAGCATTTTGCTGTGATCTCACTGATCATGGGGTAGGTCTACTGAAAAGAAGGACTAGGGCAGAGGTGGGATTCAGCTGGTTCTGGCTGGTTTTGCAGAACCAGTAGCGGAAATTTTGAGTAGTTCGGAGAACCAGCCAATCCCACCTCTGAGTGGCCCCGCCAACCCCATCTCTTCTCTGCCTCCCTTTGAGTCCCAGATGATTGGCTGGGTCTCCTTTTGTTGCCCTGCACAGGAGAACGGAGCTGGAAAGCAGGTTAGTGGGGTGGGGGAGAAAGTGGAGATTTTACAGTACCCTTCCCCTGCCACGTCCACAAAGCCACGCTCACCAAGCCATGCCCACAGAACCGTTAGTAAAAGGTTTTGAACCCCACCACTGAACTAGTTGTGACAAGATAGCAGTCTTCCAATATTTGAGGGGCTGACACAAAGAGAGAGAGTCAACCTATTTTCTTCCCAAAGTACCTGAAGGCGAGACAAAAAATCAATGGATGGAAACTAATCAAGGAGAGAAGCAACCTAAAACTAAATAATGAAGAGAACAATCAAGGGAAGTTGACCAGTGGAAGCCTTCAGAAGTTGTAGGGGCTCCATCCCTGGAAGTTTTTAAGCAGAGATTAGACAGCCCTTTGTCCAGAATGGAATTGGGTCTCCTGATTGAGCCAGGTTAGACTAGAAGACCTCTAAGGTCCCTTCCAACTCTGTTCATCTATTCTGTTGAAGTGGGCCTTGGAAAAAGCTAAGCAGGATCAGAATCTACTTGGGGGTGACACTTGGAGATCCAAGGCTGTAGGTTGAACTGGGAAGTAAAAAGTAAACATGCCCAAGGGAGCAGCAATAGTAGACCTATCCTACCCTAAGTAAAGTATGCAGGCCTCTCTACTTATTTATTAAATGGATTTATAAAGTCAGTAAATGTATATTATTAAATGTATTTATAAAGTCAGCACAAGTCGAATGTAGGTCAAAGAATTCTTTATCTTTACAGTAAAACATCTTTGGTTGACAGATGAGAAGTACTACAGGAAGGCCTCGAGGAAAAAAAAGCAAACCACAGACTAAAATCCCACTACTCAGGGTAAATTGGTGGCAAATGTTAATATGTAAGCCATCAATTTCTGCATGCCTGACCCTTTCCTCTGATTTGCCAAGTGGGGGGAAGAAAGAAAAGGTGACAGTTTGACCCCTGGAATAATTGCTTTCCACATTCCTGAGGTTTATCCCTCAAACTGTCGTATAAATTCTAAACCCAAGGTGCTTATTTGTCCTCTGAATCCACAACCAGGAAAGGATCTACTGTATGTCTTCAGTTGAGGGTGCAGGTCCTACCTGATCTCCAGCACCAACATCTTCTTCATTCCTGTGTAGATGAACGCCCTGGGCAATATCAGGCGACTGTTGCTCCAAAGCCACAAGAACGTTACAGGTCTTGTAGTCAAAGCCTACAGAGTAGAATTCCATTACTCGTACAGAAACAATTTCAACGGGTTATACAATGTAGAGCTTTGAGGAGGATCCCGACATTACCTAGGAAGACTATCTATAAACAGCTACCCTGGTTTCCTGAAAATAAGACCTATTCTGAAAATAAGATCTACCATGTGCGCCTAATATAAGCCCTACCCCCAAAATAAAGCTAATTTAAAAGCCTATGCAGCCCCTGGCCACCCATTCCTTCTGGTTGCTCATGGTGCCATGGCCACCAAGTGAGGCAGGGGTGCTGGTGGAACTGCCCCATGCGCCCCACACCAGCTTACCTCAGCGCCCCCACAGCCACCCCCATCCTGATACCTGCCTTGTGTGGCAGCACCAGCACAGGCGCCAGCACACTTCTGTTTGCTCGCAGCCTCAACGGAGCAGGAGGCCAAGCAACACACTGGAGCTGCTGCCACGAGGTGAGGCAGATGTCGAGGCATGGATGGTCTGGTTGCAGGATCCTCAGGTAAGCCGGTGCAGGGCGTGTGGGGCAGCTCCACCTCCCTGCCTCATCGTGGCGGCACCAGTGCACCAGGTGGCCTCCTGCCCTGCTGCCAGCAAGCAGAAGAAGTGGGCCTCCTGTAGATGGGGGAGAAACAACACACCCTCCAAAAATAAGCCTCGTGCTTATTTGGGGCCCCAAAAGAAAACAAGACCTGGTCTTATTTTTGAAGAAACATGAGTATTTGCTAGAAATCCTGAGGCCAGCTGGTCAAGTCAAGCAGGTTAGAAAATGTCAAGTGAAGAACAAATAGCAAGGTCGCTGGAAGAAGCGATTTGTGTGCGAGGGATGATCCAACCTTGAGATAACCTTCCAACCGGCTTATAAATAGCTTTCATTTCCCTATGCAAAGAAATTCTTGCTAGTAAAACCCGAGCATTGCTCAACCAAAGTTGAGCAATCAGTCTCTTTGGTATCCTAGCTAAGTAAACCAAGATAAGAGTCAGATTTCCTTTCCTTCGTCAAGATGGGCTCCTGTAGCCCAGCTCTTTTAGCGTTGCACCAACCTTTAGCTGAATCGTCGTAGCCTATGTTCATAATTGTGTCTCGCACAATCTGCTGATAGTCCACAATGGCTCTGGAGGTAATCTCGCCACAGAGGAGCACCATTCCTGTTTTACAGACGGTCTCTAAAGGTGAAAGAAAAGAAGTTGGATACAGCTGGAGAATGTCTTAAATACTCAGTAATAAACCACATGACTGAGTCTATGGAAGGAATTATCCATCAACCTGGTCATTTTTATCCCAAAGGTGCTTTTCCAACACGACTTTTTTTCTTTGAAAACATTTCAGGACTGAACTGAAGAAGCTTCTTGGTGAAAAGCGAAACCTTTGGTACGAAACTGTGAGTGTCTTGGAAGCAAAAGTGAGAACCGCCATCTGTTTATCAGTGAAATTATGTTGTCACACATTCTAAGACCCCTTTGTGTAACTCACATAAGCATTAGATTCGCTCTGTACATCATCATCCTGGTCTCGCTCACACACATTGTATTTTTCTTTGAGCCCTAGGAGAGGAACATCTGCCAATACCTAGGTTTGAACTCTCAACCTTCTGAGTGAGAGGCAAGCATCTTCACCACTCTGCTGATACCCACCCCGCTTGTCCCACCCATTTGTCTCTTGTCTCTGCCTCCAATACTAAAATTAGGTTGTGTTACAGTGAGAGAGCATGTTGGCCAATCTCAAACATTCTCCAACTGGATGAAATCCAGGATATGATTTGGAAATAGTAACTCCGCACTTGCCACGTCTGCTAAGGGTACCTCCCAACTTGTAGCACTACCTTCAGATGTTCTGATGGCCATTAAAAGTGGAATGTTTGTCTTGATAAGAAAGAGAAGAAGCCACCTCTTACCGCAAGCAACTTTGGCATCTGGATCTTGCTTCAAGTGGGCATCAAGGACGGCATCGCTGATCTGGTCACATATTTTGTCTGAAAGAGAGCAGAGTTGCGTATCTGAAATGAAAATAGCTACCACAGAAAATCGGGACTCTTTTTGTCCCACTAACCCACAAAAAAAGCAATCCGTTCATCCATTCTGCATCTGATTTTTTTTTTTTAATAGTCAACAGCTCAGAGTCAAGGGAAATCAGTATCTGAACTTAATTCTGCCAGTCAGAAAGTAATGAGACTTGAAATTCTAGAACTAGAAAACCTTGAATTACGCCGTCTTCGGTCTGATTTAAGCATGGTATATAAAATCATACATTGCAATGTCCTACCTGTCAATGAATACTTCAGCTTCAACCATAACAACACAAGAGCACACAACAGATACAAACTCAAGGTTAACCGCACAAAGCTTGATTGCAGGAAATACGACTTCAGCAACAGAGTGGTCAATCCAATCCAATACTCTACCTGACTCTGTGGTTTCTTCCCCCAAACCCAAAAACTTTAACCTTAGACTGTCTACTATTGACCTCACCCCTTTTCTGAGAGGTCTCTAGGGGGCGTGCATAAGCGCACCAACGTGCCTACTGTCCTATTGTTTCTTTTATTTTTCTTATATGTACCCATTTTATGTATTCATAACTATGTATACACTTATACTTATTATCTTGTAAACAATTGACAAATAAAATAAAATAAATAAATAAATAAATAATGGTGGAACCTAACCTCAACCTATTCCATTCACACCTGGTGTTAGGATCGAAGAGGAAAAAACATCTGTGTCAAAACAAGCCCCTGGCATAGTTTTCAAATATACCACTCTTGAACCTGCTGCTCCCCACAGGATGGTTCAGATGAGTGATTTGTCCTTCTGTGGATGCCAAAACAAAGCATTTGGGTTTATCTGATGCCATTTCAAAGGATTAAAACTTGACTGGTGTGCTAAGGGGTTTTGATTTTGTGTACTGGTGACTCCTGCCATTGCTCTTGCTAACAAGTGATCCACAGTATTCCGGCATTTAGCCAACAGATGGAAGTAATGGGGCCTGCCCAAGGCTTGGAGCATAGATTGCATGTGCTGTTTTCTACAGGGCTACTAAACCTTGTTATCTTTTTACTTGATGACGTTTTGATGGGGAAAAGGAAAAGAGAGAGGGAAGAGGGGAGGAGAAGGAGGGAGAGAGGGAGGAATCCAATTGAACTCCTCCAGTTCAATTGGACTCAAATTCCCTTAATCCCTAGAAAACAAGGCTGATAAAGGGAAGGAAAAGGAAAAGGAAAGGAAAAGGAAAGGAAAAGGAAAGGAAAAGGAAAGGAAGAAAATCAATAAAGAAGGAAAGGGAAGTAAATTGATAGGGGAGGGGAGGGGAGAAGAGGAAAGGAAAGGAAGGGAAGGGAAAGGAAAGGAAAGGAAAGGAAAGGGAAAGGGAAAAGGAAAGGAAAGGAAAGGAAAAGGAAAAGGAAAAGGAAAGGGAAAAGGAAAAGGAAAAGGAAAAGGAAAAGGAAAGGAAAGGAAAGGAAAGGAAAGGAAAAGGAAAGGAAAAGGAAAAGGAAAAGGAAAAGGAAATGTTTGTCTATATTCAATCTCTCCTTAATTGGCACACACTCACTGTGAATATATACTTTGAGGATCTGGTCTAGGGCACTGTGAACCCCTGCAATTGTTTGGTCTGTAAACGTTGATCATACAGAAGCTACATTGTAAAGTGGGATGTAAACCATTCAAAGATAACAATTATTTTAAAAATGATAGTAGTCTTCCAATATCTCAGGGGCTGCCACAAAGAAGAGGGGGTCAACCTATTCTTCAAAGCACCTGAAGGCAAGCACCTGAAAGCAATGTGTGGAAACTCTCTTCAAGGAGAGAGATGCAAACCTGGAATTAAGGGGAAACTTCCTAATGATGAGGACAATTAACCGGTGGAACAACTTGCCACCAGAAGTTGTGGGTGCTCTATCACTGGAGGTTTTTAAGAAGAGGCTGGACTGACACTTGCCTGGAATGGAATAGGGCTTCCTGCCTAAGCAGGTGGTTGGACTGGAAGACCTCCAAGGTCCCCTTCAACTTTTGTTGTTCCGTTAGTTAGAGCACTGATCTTCATGAGTAGGAGAAAGAGCCTTGCCAAGAGATAAGAGAATAACTGGTCTCATTTTGTACTTCGAACAGGATATTGTTGTGCAAGAATGCAACAGCTGAAGCTTTCATCATTGAGATAAAAGTTATCGGATTCTGATAATTGCCAACCTGGCTGCTGTTGTTGGAGCTCACCCATTGCCAAAAAAAAAAAAAAAAAAGATAGTCCCCTTGAACTCAGCTCAGCTGCTGGTGACTTCATGGAACATCCTCATGCTACTTTTCTTGGCAGCAATATAGACGCATCTTCTTGCCGTTGCTTTCTTTGGGGTTGCTTCTTCAGCTTCCTAGTCCAGCCTGCTGACCTGAGATTCTCTGGTGGTCTCCATCCAAGCTCAATCCTGCTTGGTTTTGGGGATGATCAGCCCCAGACTGGAAGGCGGTGCCCCCTATTCACTGATAAACTGGCACTCCACAACACCAGGAAAACAACCTTAAATAGGTCTAGTTAGTTAATGAATTAGGTTATCGGGATTACTGCAGTTCATAGGCATCGGGTTATCATGCTCCTCTCCCTGGAGCCTTACAGAAGCATGGATTTCAACTCCCAAACCTTCAAGCCAGCATAGACACTGATAAGGATGCTCCAAGGTGGTTCACGCATCAATGGAGCAAACAAGAGTAAAAATGTGCTTGCATTAGTTTTTCCATGTTGATAGGTCCCTAAATTGTGGAGAACGTTCTGTCATGGCCCTCAAGGGAGTGTGAGCCTTTCAAGAAGAAGCTAGGACGATCCTGGTTTTCAAAAGTGTGCTTTGTCCTGGAGTTGGGAAGAACGATTAGATGATGGTGATGATGATAGGTGGTATTCAGCAGGTTCTGACTAGTTCTGGAGAACCGGTAGCGGAAAATTTGAGTAGTTCAGAGAAGCAGCAAATCCCACCTCTGACTGGCCCCGCCAACCCCATCTCTTCTCTGCCTCCCATTGAGTCCCATCTGATCAGCTGGGTCTCCTTTGGTTGCCCTACACAGGAGAACGGAGCTGGAAAACAGGTTAGTGGGGTGGGGAGGGAATGGGGATTTTGCAGTATATCCTTCCCCTGCCACACCCACCAAGTCCACCAAGCCACACACCCACAGAGCCAGTAGTAAAAAAAATTTGAATCCCACCACTGATGATGGTGATGATGATTGATGTTGGTGATTGGTGATGAGGAGAAGGAGGCAGCTATCTATTCAACTGTGTATGATTCCTGGAGATTCTATGGGACAAGTGTCCCCGTATCTTCTGTGGTTATTATTCCTTTTGTATTATTCTGCTGTTATTATATCCTGTCCAGTGATGGCCAACTCCTGATGACTTTATGGGCAAAACCTCCACCACTGGCCTATCTCTGACCAGATTATATGGTTCTTATAGGTACATTTCTGTGGCTTTCGGTACTCCATTTCTCCACCTCATGCAATGTCAGTGTTTTTCCTCCTTCCATCTCGCATGATTGTCATCGTGGGCTTTTTGGTGCTCTCTGAACTCGGCAGTTTTCTTGCAAACATTTTATTCCCAAACTAGGTAACCAATGCATCGGATGTGGGTATCTATTTTGGCAACGAAACATCTGCATGGAATCCATCAAACTCAGAGAGCACCGAGGACCCCACAGTTTAACCCTGAGCTAAGAAATATCCACTATTGTTGTCTTTTTCATACATGTATCAGTATCAATGTTCGTCAACCCCTGACATGACTTCACAACTAACAACACCAACAACCAAAGTTTATTCTCTTGGTGGCTTGGAACACAGATTTTTTAAAATGAGAAATATCATGGAAAGAAACTCAGAAAGAACAGTTTATCCATCTCATGTCCTATGAGAGAGCGTTTACTTATGCCAATACATTGGTGCCAACAAAGCACATTTGTTTTGTCCCTACGGGAAAGACCAAATGAAATTCCAGCAACCAGATTACACAAGGGGGAAACTATTGACATTTCTGTGAAAACTTGGTGGAAGAGGTCATGTTTAACCTGACTTTATGCCAACAGATTTTACAGTGTCCCTATTCCATTGTCCCCAAACCAAGTAGGATGGTGTTAAGGACTCACTGAGGGAAAACTATTTGCTCTAATTGATGCGTTTGTCAAACTCATTGTGCACTCTTCTCTGACGTTAAACCCTAAGATATGTGGGTCAACCTATAACCAAAAGCCAAAAAAAAAAAAAGGATTCATGACCACAGCTTTGAAGGTTGACACTGCGTTTCTTAAAATTCACTTGCAATAAATATAAATACCAAGAGAGTTTAGCTTTGCCAATCTAGGTTAAACAAGGTAACCTAGATCACATCTGATCAGTACTCAGCTATAGGCTACTGGGAAGCTGAACAAACCATGACAGAAACCAAATTTCTATCTTGGCCAAGAAGACCACTTGAATATGTCCATGAACTTAGGAGTTGAGCTTGGCTCAAAGGAGATATCATCTTTCACACAAATGAAGAAACGTTGGTCATTATATAAACTATTAACCCTAATTTTTCTAATGATTGAAATTTGGATGCATTTTGAAAAGCATGGATCAGAACCTAACCAAGAGGTTCCTATGCAATCCTATGCATGTCTACTCAGGAGTGAGCCCAGTGTCGGAAAAATGAAAGTATACTCACAGACGAAAAGGTTAAAAATTAAAAAATATTAGAACATGCCGAAATGGACAGGTTAATGATGGAAATTAAGGATAAAGAAGAGAGTATCATTTAACATGGGATCTACTGTACAAATGGTTAGAAAACAGATGCAGAGATTAGTAACTCTACGATGGAAAAAGATTAAGAAAATATAGATAGATAGATAGATAGATAGATAGATAGATAGATAGATAGATAATTAGATGGATAGATATAGATAAGTACATATGCTATAACTAATATTACTAATGGATTGTATTTGACTACAAATTATAG